ACCATATATATACAGATGCAGTACATATATATAAACATATATAATATAAGTTTTAAATATCAATGTCTCTAACTATGAGGTGGTAAGTGATCAGGTCTAAATCCTTCAGAAGAAGGATAACCAGTCTAGGGTGGTGCAGAAGAAGGATAACCAGTCTGGGGTAGAGCAGAAGAAGGATAACCAGTCTGGGGTGGTGCAGAAGAAGGATAACCAGTCTGGGGTAGAGCAGAAGAAGGATAACCAGTCTGGGGTGGTGCAGAAGAAGGATAACCAGTCTGGGGTGGTGCAAAAGAAGGATAACCAGTCTGGGGTTGTATAGCATTCATAGAATATTGCTAGCTAAGTAAGTGCATGTGCTCTTGGAATCTCCTCTCAAAGTTGGCCTCCATCTCTAATACTCTTTATGATGCCTCTGTATGAATACGTGTGGCCACCTCTGTCTGAACTCGCTCAGTCATTTCTTTCCGAACTTGAGTAAGCTCAGACTGCAACTGTTGAACCTGTGTCGTAAGAATCCTGGTGGTAGAAGAGGAGGCGTCACTCATGTCATATCGTCGCCAAGGGATGCCATGCTCTGCTGGATCCTGTAATGTAGACATCCCTCTCATCTGACCCTTTTTAGGAGGTCCAACCACCTCTTTCCAGATAAGTGGATCCCATTCTAGCCATGAATCCTTGTTTGGCCCATGCTTCTCCACATATTTTTGGTGAGCATCGTTTTGTTTCAAAAATAAAATTTTCATTAGTTAGCAATTTCAAATGATAATGGGAAATCAAATGAAAAATAATAATTTACTGAATACAATGGATAAAAAATTGTATCACTTTTCTTCTTTTATGACAATATGACATTAAAAATAAATAAAATTAATATCATAAAAGAATCAGATTCTTACATATGTCTGCTCAGCCTGTGGACATATCCAAGCGGGTGGGGCATCTTCTGGAGTATCAGGTTGGCGGGTCGTGTGAGTCAACAAGTACGACTCTAAAGGTGTCGGCCTAACTCTTCCTCTTTTAGCTACCTATTAAAACATCAATAAAATCAATAACATTTCCATTTTTAAGGTAAACAAAAATAATTTATATATGTATATATATATAAGTACATCCTACTAACCAATCGATCCTCATGGATCCCAATAGAAATGCATCCAGTTGTGTGGGTCACACGATCACCCTTTGCTCGGTTTTGCCGACCTCTTTCCTGGAGTGCAATATATTTTGGACTCCTCCATTTTGCCAACAAAATTTTAAAGGTATCCTTATGCACGAACTCGAGCAACTTCTTGTCCCTGACTCATGCCTTTCGAGCTCGATGAAGCTCGTCTTGAAAACGGTTTCGACAATGTAATCTCCAAATTTTATACACACAAGCATTATCCTCTTCTCAATAATATGTCCTCTCCAATGAAAAAAAAATTAAATGTTAATAATTTATTTGATTTTTCTTAAAAAAAAAAAAGAGCAAAGTTTTGCTTAAATCGTCATTTTTTTTTCACTATTAATAAATAAAATATAAAAAAACCATATAAAATATACCTTGTACTTCCATATTAAGTGCCATAAGAGAAAGGTGATAGCATCTAAATAAATTCTCAAAAAATACTTCATTTTATTCTATAATTTTCATACCTGAAAATTCTCCTAAGCAACCCTCTTCTTTTCCTCTGGCCAGCTAGACTAGAAAAGCACTGGCTCATCATACAAGTACTTCCAAATTACTGTGGCAGTCCTCCCAAACCTCTCATGGCTGAATGTGCCTCGGCGATTAAGGTTAAGCACCTTCCTTTGACTCGGGTCTGCAGAAGCGTCATCTCCTTTATCCATGCCACATCTTGTCTTTGGGATAGCATGTGATAGCTCCTCCTCCAACTGAGCATCTAACTCAGGATCAAGCAAAGCAAACTCAGCATCCAACTCAGCCTCCAAATTATGCTCTTCAGTGTCCTCCTCCATTGTTGCATCATCACTAGTGAACTGGTCATCGGCCAATGGTGGCTGAGTAACAGTGGGTTGCTCCTGTTGCAACTGTGTGGGAAGTTGAGTCAAACTGGAAATCTGTTGCTGTGCGAGAGGCTCGCTCAAGGTAGGCAGCTGTTGCTGTGTAGGAACAGCCCTACGAGGCCCCCAAATAAGATGACGAAATGACCTCTGTGGTTCTCCCTCTGGATCAACTTGCTGTCTAGAAGAAGATGCACCTCACGTACCTCGTCTCATATCTGTATACAAAAAATAGTGGAAACACATCAACTTCCTTTTCATGAAAAAAAGCAAAAT